CATTTACATTGAATAAAAGCATTTTAATGTTTTTATTGCAATATTAATATGTTATATTAAAATACTTTATTCCAGGCACTTAACAGGCCTGGTAAAATCATGATTCAATACTGTAGCTGTTACTATCTTGTCTAGTTTTCCAATGTCATTATAAATAAGGGTCTGTATAGTTTATGATCAGTGTACAGGATTTCTTCATTTATACAGTTGGGTTATTTCGGGTTGAGAGAACAAACATATAGGCCTGTGTTGTACTTCACTTATGATGTTTCTTTATCTCTTTCATATTGCTCCCTTTATATATATTATGTTTCATCTTATTCTCTGTTACTGTTGAATCTCTTATTCAGGTTACAATGTTTCTTTCTCCAGTTCTCAGCATAACAGAACAGTGGTGTGAATCAGTCACTTTTGATTATCTTTGTATAATAACTCATAACTTCTCGACATCTCGTTTTCTCTAAATTGAGGCTGATTCAACATTTTGTAGTGTATCCTCAAAATCTCTTTTGGCATACAAGTTCGGTCAGGTCAGTTTTTTTTTATTATTATTATTTTTTTTTTTAAGAAAATCACTAAAGACTAATTTAATATTCACAAAAACAAAACAAAAAAATAACCAAGAGAAACTAATCCATAACCAAACCTGCCACTAGGCTGTTATAGAAAACACTTAAATATGGATTTTTCTTCTAAGTGACAAATGAATAGATTTAGTCCTTTTATCACTATGAATAAATTACTAGATGAAGAACACATCCTCGACGGGACGAGGCTCTGGAACGGCGGCGGCCATCTTGGGACGAGGCTTTGGGACGGCTGATGGTGAATGCAGAGTTGGTGTATTGCCATGGTGATGGTGTAAAAACAAACACAAGAAAACACAGCAAAATAATAAACTATTAAAAGGTCTTGTTTTCTGTCAAAGATATGGTGGCTATCAAGCGAACGACATCAGAGATGATAAAGAAGACTTTAGTCCAAGACTAAACATGAAATAATACAACCACACACCACAACTCAAATATTACAAGACACTGTTACACTAATGCTGGATATGTTTATTTTTAATTTAGGTGATTCTTCAGTCTTTTAATTAGCTCTCATTTATTTAATTAACTCTCATTCGTGTCATTGATGACAGCATAAGAGTGTGATGCATTTCAAATTGTTGGTGATGAGGCTAATGCTTCACAGTGTTTATATATATATATATAAAATGTGAATACAAATCTGTATTTCTTCCAAAAACTTCTTTTACAATTCATGCACTGACACAGTGTTTGAGTAAAATTGAATAAACGCACTTATGTCTTCTCACTTCAGAATTAACAGACTAAAAATCTATATTATTTTAATTACATTTACAGATTTTACAGTTGTTATATCCAAGGTCAAGGTGACTTCCATTGCACTGAAGAGAACATTTCAACACATAATGAAGATTTGCATTTCTTCCAGCATGATCTACTGTTTGAGTGACAGGAAAGTATTGTGGTGTATTCAAACTCTTTTGTGTTTATAATCTTATAACCAGGATGTTTTCTGTGTAAACTAGGATAAACAGACGGAGTTGGATCAATTTCAGTCACGTTTGGTTTTGCTTTCATTATTCATTGTCTTCTGCAGGAATATCATCAGTGTTTTTATGTGACAATAACTTTTTCCCAAAACACAATGATTAAATTGAGGCACTGGGTTTGTTGATCTTAACCTGAAATAATATTGTTGCATGTGCTTTTGCTTTCTTTTTTTTTTTCTTTCCATGAAATGAGACATGACTTCTAGTTCAATTCAAAAGTATTTACCATTGAATAAATATGTTTTTATTGCATGTTTTTTTTATTTTATGTTAAACTACTTCATGCCAGGCACTTAACAGGTCTGGTAAAACCATGATTCAATACTGCAGCTGTTGATGAGTTTTCCAATGTCATTATAAATAAGGATCTGGATAGTTTGTGATTAGTGTAAACAGGATTTCTTCATTTATGCAGTTGGGTAAGTTCTGGTTGATAGAACAAGCATACATTTGTTGTTTCTTTATCTATTTCATTTTGCTTCCTATATATTTATTTATTTATTTATTTATTTATTTATTTATTTATTTATTTATTATTACTCTACGTTGATGTGATGAGTGATGAGCAGTGTCTTTTCCTGCATGGCCTCATCCAAAAAACAGTGTACACATAGCACTTGTTCCATGAGTCCAATATTGATGGAGCTGAAGTGATGTTAAAGGGTAATCTGGTGTGTGCAAACATCCCTTTGTGGGTCGTGATGATAAGATATTTACATGAATCTTTGTGCACAGGAATCTGCAGCACTGTAAAAAATATTTTCAAAATTTGTTATCACAACATATTTTCTTTTGTCAAATCAACTTTATAATAATTTATTTAGTTGAGTTATATAGGTAACTTATTATTTTTTCAGATTTTTCTGATGGTTAAATTAATCTCCTTCATTGTATTAACTCACTTTTTCCCAGTTCAATCAACTTAACATTTTAAGGCAACTCAAGTTACTTACTTTTTTAAGTTAAACCAACAAAAATTATTCACAGTGTAGTAATCACAACATTTTTTTCTTTTGTCAAATCAACTTAAATAATTTATTTATTTCAGATAACATATAATTTTGAGTTTCTGATGGTTAAATGAATCTCCTTCATCGTATTAACTCACTTTTTCCAGTTCAATAAACTTAAAATTTTAAGGCACCCAGGTTACTTACTTTTTTAGGTTAAACCATCAATATTTTTTTACAGTGAGGTAGGTATGTAAAAAGTCTAGTTCGCTAAATCTTTTTCTCCCAGCCAGTGAGCAAATCTTCAATTGAAGGTAATGAATGTTCTGCACACAGAGATGGGTTCACCGTTATTTTGAAATCACCACAGATCTTTATTCTATTTACCTCTATTTTACCAGGAAGCCTCCTTGAGATTAAAATCACTTTTTCAAGAGAGCAATGGTGACATGCTTAATGCTGCAATACATGCTGGGTGCCATGAGTAGGTGGATCTCAGCATGCATTGCAGCATGAATAATATCACCATTGTTGAGATTCATATGTTGATTCTTGATGTCTGTGTGTGTCTAAAGATTTGTTTGTGAACAAACCTGTGTAGATAGAATCTCTCATGTAATACAAAACACAGATATCAACTTTTATCAATTGACCTTTTGAAAAGAGACGCCCCTCTTAGTTATTCTTGCTTTTTCCAACAATGTGTTCTCTAGGGCAAGAAAGTATTGTTGGTGAATATAATCTATTAATAACTAAGAAACACTTTTTTTTCAGGCATAAAATGAATGAATCACCTGATCATCTTTGTTTCTTGTTTTTTTTTTTACAGCAATTTATGTTTTATTAAGCATTACAAAGACCATAAACCCAGTTTGTCAAGTCAAACTGGCCAACCACAGGAAACACTGATCATCCTGCCCGATCTCATGAAAGTGCGGATCAATACAACAAATGTTGTTTCTCATGTCATTTATATGGCAAAAATAGTTTTTTTTTTATTCCCCTAATCTGAACTAAGGGGTTTTCAGTGTGTAGCATATGCACGCAAAAAAAAATTTTGGCGTAAAAATGGCATTTGTGGTATAGATACGCACTTTCATGAGACTGCGTTGAATCATCGTAACGGTGACCAAGCATTTTTATTCATTTGTTGTGTTTAATTTTCTGAGAAACATAACATTGTAACACTGATTCAATGCCGGTACATTCGATTTTTGATTGAGATTACAACATTAATTGCTGGTGCAAAAGTGATGTTGATTCAATGCAGTTAACTTTGACTCATTAAAAGTGATTAAACATTGTTTCGATGCTTGCTTGATTATATCTGGGCTGTAATACGCCCCACAGTGGAAAGTGAAACCGTCTTCTACCGGCTGGGCCGGATCTGCACAGAATGGAGCGGTTCATTAACCAGAACAGTTTGGCCCAATGGTGGAAACGTGTTTATTGTGTCTGAGGAATTTAAGAGAAAGGTGAGGCCTTTACAACTGCAGGTGTCTCAGAACAAAAGCTGAGTTTGCAGAAAAAAATAATAATAATAGCAGCAAAATACCTTAGACAATTAACAGAGGGTGTGTGACATGCTTTAAAACTCTTTGGAATTATATATGTTCTAGTTATATCATTGTATGGAGAAAAATGTGATGCTGGTTTTACGGGTTTTTCCTTTTGTGCATGTTAATTTTTCTGTTGCAGCTCACGTCAACTACTTCACAACTCGCACCATTAGTTTTAGCATTATTATTATACTTCCAAAAACAGATCAGATAGCAGCAAGAAAACACAAAAACTAAAAAGTCAAGAGCCCAACTAAAAGCAAACTCTGATCTCCATTTTTAATCAATCCTCAACATTTAAACCTCTGTTAATTCTAAATAAAAACTTTCTAAATTCTAAATAAAACCGGTTCTTCAGAAGAACGAGAAACACTGATGCTGTGGTTAAAATACAGGAGCTCTATTGCAGTGATGTCTATTAATTACTTAGCTTAGTTGATGTGTTTTTTATTTAAGAATTTGAATACAAATTATTAGCAGTTACAAATAAATGCAGTCTTTCATTGTCCTGATACTCTTTTGTATGTCTTTGAATTAGCAACTTACAACTTTGAATAAAACTTACAATTATATAAAAATAAAATAATTAAAATGAAATAAAAATTACAATTATATTCCTTGTTTTTTTGTGATATATTAATGCAATATTATTTCATATATTTTTCGGTGTATTTAAGCCATTCAATATATGGACCATAAATATATGGAATTATATTTTTGTTCTGTAAGGGTAATTTTAGAAGGTCTGTAGCGCTGATAATGTCTGTCATATAGTATTAAAATATATTGTTTGTCTTGGACGACCATTGAAATGTTAGGTGTGTGTGACTTGAAGCGGTGCTGCACTGACTGATTGGTGTGTGACATCAGATTACCGCGATTAGAGGGTAGACTCTAAATATCCTCGTCTTCTGTTTAAATGAGAACTGAAAATGAGAATTATTTAAGTTTTAATACTTCAGTTCAAGTTTTGGTTTCATTCATTTTTCCATAAAACACTACATTTAAAGCACACGCACACACACATAAATAAGTTCAAACCCATTAAAACTTGTTCTTAACCAAACCTGGCAGCTGTATGTAATAGAGTAAAGCACGTTGTTTTATATATTAGAATATTTATTCTTCAAGATAATGAGTTATGCATACAGTACATACCTGGCGTTTTATAACAGACTATTCAGAGGACAGTGAGACGTAAGACACATTGGATTGGGAGGGACTTCAGGCATGTTAAACAAACCAGCATTTCAGTCAAAGCAGATTGTTCAGACACACACTCCAGCACAAGATCGTCAGTGAGAGCACAGCTTCAGGCCAGAGAGCACCATGGAGTGAGTTTAAATTATTGTTGTTGTTTTTGTTTTGTTTTTCTACTGGAGGATATAATTAAAAAAAAAATCTAATTTAAAATAATTAACTCTGGGCCCTGGCGGCCTAAAGGTGCAATATGTAATATTTATAAGGATCTATTGACAGAAATACAATACAACACACTATAATATCCATAACTATGTATTCTGTGGTGTATAAAGACCTTGCATAATGAATCGTTATGTTTTTATTACCTTAGAATGAGATATTATCTCCATTACCCCGAGGCCCTGCTCTCTGATGTGGATGCTCAATTGCGCATGAACAACAGTCACACCTAGCTGTTCTAGATCTATTGCACACACAACCTCGCTGCAATACATTTTATCAAGTAGAATAATACAGCATAATCATGCACATAGTCTCAGCTAAGACTTTTTGCCATTTATTCAAAAAATCAACTGTGCATCGAGTGTATATCTTAGAAAAAATAATTGATTCTTTGCTCATTGTTTCTAATGCAGATAATTGTTCTACTCTGTATTCCAGTATTTACTGCTGTAAAAAGATGATGCAGCACTTTTATTATATACAATACAATAATAAGCTATTTTATGTGTTTATCTTAATAGACAACATGTTTTCAAAAAAGCAGTTTTACAACCTTATCAGCGCTAATGATAATATTAGTACATTTTAGCACGTTTTAAGCCCTATTGTCAACTTTAATCAAATAAAACATAATTTTCCAACAACAAAAATGTGACTGGTCAAAATGCTGTGTGGCTAGTAATTTTGGGAAACCACTAGTTTTACTAGCAAAAAAGTTACCACTAGCAAAAAAGTTAATGTCAAGCCATATATATATATATATATATATATATATATATATATATTATAATTTAATATAGAAGATGTGTAGATACCGCATGTGGATTTTGTAAGGTAAAGGAATTTCAATGTGGTGTGAATTTTATATGGGTTATACTGGTGTTAAATGTGTAGATTATTTATACGGTGTGAATCATATTTAATATAATAAAGTTGTTCTGTTTAACAAATTATTAACTAAGGAATTATTATTATTATTATTATTCTTTAGTCTGTTGGCTATTTAGCTTTTTCCTGGCACACGTCACTTAGACATTTTGCATTTACTGCAGAGTCTTGTGACTGTTTATATATTTGTGCCCATATTAACATTTTTTGAATAGATATTTCTGAAATTGAATGATGTTTTTGTTGATTTATTAGTACACAATTCTTTTTCTGACCTATTTCAATCTTGCCCCTGACAAATAACCCTAAAAAAAACTAAAAATATTAAAAACTAAACTAAAACTAAGCATTTTCAAAAAATAAAAACTAAACTAAATTAAAGCTGCAAGCAGTGATGGGCGGGCCCTTGCACCTGTAGCGCGTCGGGGTGTGAGGCGGCCGCATTGCATATTCTGGAGCTCAGCCGGTGTGGCTGTGAATTTGCTACTCACTTCATTTACCAGCACATCATTGCCAGCAGGTGGCGCTATTACTGTGGGCTAAGTTCGGCATGCACGTGTCTTCAGGGCGGGACTGTTGTATAACGTATAAAATTTTGCGCAGGTCCAAGGATGTACACTGAAGTTACAACAACTTCCTGTTTCATGGCGAATCGTCGACTCCTCGGACACGCCCATTGGCGAAAACGCGCAGATAGCACAACTTTTCATCGTCAATGCCTTTAGAAGGCACAGCAGAAATGTGAAGTCTGACTAAATCCCGAGGAGGAGTTTGTTAAAGTACGTAATGAGTAAATCATCCAAAAACAGCGGTAAAATTAGAAATGGCCGACTTCCTGTTGACTTTAGGGCATCGCTCCAAGAGACTTTTCAGTGCGTCTGGACATGGTAGATGTACCACAGAATTTTCGTACATGTCGGTCAAACATGCGGCGGGGGCTGCTTCGTTAAAGGTCACTTCCTGTTGCCAGCAGGTGGCGCTATGACTGTGGGTGAATGTCGGCATGTAGATTTGTTCAGGGCGGGACTCTTGTCAAATGTGTCAAATTTGGTGCAGATCTGGGCATTTACAGCCAAGTTACTACAACTTCCTGTTTCATGGCGTATCATCAACGCCACGGACACGCCCATCGACGAAAAAGCGTAGATAGTTTCAGACAAATTTACATCGTCAAAATGAAGTCGATCCGACTAAATCCCTAGGAGGAGTTCGTTAAAGTACGGAGTGTGTAAATCGTCAAAAATGGCTGCCAAATTCAAAATGGCAGACTTCCTGTTGAGTTTAGGTTTAGTTCTAGGTGGCGCTAACGAGCCGTTTTGGTACGCCCATCCGCGAAACCCACAAAATACGAAATTTTTCACCAGTCCTGACATGCGTGCCAAATTTGGTGAGTTTTTGAGCATGTTGCCAATCTTCATATTGGCTGGAGGGACCGGCTTAATCACCAGTAGGAGTGCAATGTCCACGCTCCTGCCAGGGGAACATTATCTCAACACCAAAGTTGGTCCAGAAGAAACACTAGAGCAGGGCATAGGAGTGGGGGACTCCACCTTCACGAACGAAGGCGAGTCTCCATCTCAGCAATTAGTGCTGATTGGGCGGACACCAGCCAAACTGAATCATAAGCCGAGTCTTCTGCTACGGAACAGCCAGCTGGACCGGTTGGGAGAGTTTTAAGCATCTATGAACCGGGCGTGAGAAGACATGACTGGGTCTTCGAACACGCCCAATTGCCGGCTGGTGATTCAAGAGGAGGATGAGGGGTGAAAGGCTTTACAGGGTCGCACACCGACAGTCTGGCTCTCTTGGGGCCCAGTAAAAGAGGAAATTGCTCTTTCTTTGAAAATGTGGGTTGTTTAAAACTGTCTTTTTTGTGAGTCAGCAGCGGAACAGACACACACAAAAACAAAGAACTCCACTCGGCCCTCCTGCGGGTGGAGGGAGTGGATCGGGTACTATCTCCAAGAGCTCCTTCCTCCATCCCCGCTCAGTGGCCCGCTCAGGAATTCACTCTAGCCTTCTTCTGGGAAGTTGTCCCAGAAGAAACACTAGAGCAGGGCATCGGAGTAGGGACTCCACCTTCACAAACAAATGCGAGTCTTGATCTCAACAACGAGATGGGAATATCCCTGCTGTGGGAACATTAGTTATCCCTAAGAGGTGGTTAAGCCCAAACACGTGATGTAGTAATTATGAACGTCAGGGGGGACAAAGCCCTACTGCACCCAGAAACGCATGGATGGAATGACATCTTGAAAAAAACGTGTTGCTCTTTCAGGAAGGACCTGTCACCAGTGCCAGAGCGCACAGAACAGTGACCTGAAAAAGTGAAGCACTCACTTCTTCGCCCTCTAACCAATTGTCAACAAACTCAGAGGTTTGATGCTATTAAAACAGCAGTTGAGCATTCAGAAGTACATGATCTCCAGAGCACTCTCGCTCTAGAAAGCACCAGCACTGTGAAAGTCTTCCAGAAGAACAGACACAATCGCTCGTTGTATAGACTTTATAGATTTTTTGTTTTTTGTTTTTGTGGCAGAGTTTAATTGGTGGCAGAATGGTCCCTCTGGTCGATCACTAACGTTAGTTTGCAAGTTTTGTTAGCTCGATTTTTAACAGTGACTTGAGAAAATCCTATTTTTCTTAATGTGCAAGGTCACTCACTGTCCAGGACCATGACTGGTATTTGTAAAAGTTAATTTTAATGGAAGGAACCAGATTGGCTGACCCATACACACTCTCTCAATGGATAGACAATCTGACAGTATTAGCGTTTAACGTAACGCTACCTCCGGTGGAGTGGCCTGACATCTACACCTACTCGATAGACAAACCAAGTGTAAAGAGAAAGAGCCATCTTAGAAAATAGTCTCGACTAGTCAAACCACGAACGTCGTGCTGAGTGATCTGAACTGTGTGAAGTTCAGCGAACTTCTGAACTGTATGAACGGCGTTCAGAGATCGACTTATCGAGTCTGTTTTCTAAGATGGCTCCTGCCTGTATACACGAAGTGAACTGTCTTCATAAAGTATCTTCTTATTAAACGATCTGTACACTTACAAAGTTCTCAATGCTTCGTTTTGCATGTAGGGACCCTCATTATGTTACTGTGTTAGTGTGGGGCTATTTTGAGCCTTGTTAGTGGTATTAACTAGCAATTTCTTTTTACTTAGCATTATACGCTAAACAGTTTTTAGAGATAAAACTCTTTACATTCGATTATCATATGAAAACAAATCTCAGAGAACGATTGACTATGTACCGATGTTTTATTAGACCAAAGGTTCATTGTTCGCCGGAGTTCTCCTTTAACATTTTTTTAAATGAAATTATTTGGATGGACTTCCTGTTTAAAATAATGTGTCTTTAGATGTATATGAACATGTTGAAAATGTCTGTATTTCCATAAGAACTTCTAGTCTTCAATTCACTCAATGCAATTTTTTTAATAAACATTTGCCTCCTTATTTTACAGACAGCCAAATCTTCAACCACGCACAACAACTCTTATTCATGGAGGTCCTCCAATACGATACCGTCTTCACACAGATAGAAAAGTGCTTGATGATAATGGGAAAGTGAGAAGATGGACTTATGGGAAAAAAGACAGCAGTAAACCAAATAAAATTGTTCTGCTGGTGGGAGAAACCGGCGCTGGTAAGACGACTCTCATCAACAACATGGTCAACTACTTAATGGAGGTGAAGTTTGAGGATGAAATATGGTACGAAATCACTGAAGAAGAAGCCAGAGACCAATCAGAATCCCAAACCTCTGAAATCACCATGTATGAGGTCTGTCCAATAAAGAGTCCCATATCTCTCACCATCATTGATACTCCAGGATACGGAGACACTAGAGGACTGGAAAAAGATCTGGAAGTTGCTGAGAATTTATCCATGTTGTTTCAAAGCAGTGATGGAGTTCGAGAAGTCGACGCTGTGTGTTTTGTGATTCCAGCTTCTAAGAATCGTCTCTCGGACAGACAGCATTACATCATCAGTTCAATTCTGTCTTTATTTGGAAAAGACATTGTGAACAACATTGTGTTTCTAATCACACACTCTGATGGTCTGCCGCCCAAAAACGTCCTCGGCGCCATTAATAAAGCTAGAATCCCCTGCAGACGAGACCACAAGAACCAGCCTGTTCATTTCTTATTCAACAACCGGCAGGCGGACGCCCGTCACACTGGAGAGCGTCAAGTTCGTGCACAGAGAGATGCCTGGGAGGACAGCATGGACGGCATGAAGGAATTCCTTCAGTCTCTAAATGGAAAGAACAGAAGAAGTTTAGAGTTGACTTCAGATGTCCTGATTGAGCGCATTCGATTAGAAGCATTTATCTGCAACTTACAGCTACGAATTCGTGAGAAAGAACAGAAAAAGGATGAAAAACTTCAGATCCAGCAGGCAATTAAAGAAAACAAGGAAAAGATTGAGACTTTTAAAAACTTTAACATTAAAGTCAAAAAGACTGTCAAAGAGAAGGTTCCCATTGAAAGCGCTTCATGGAAGCACAGGAAGGCGACGACCTGCACCGTCTGTGAGGAAAACTGCCATGAGTTTGACTGCTGGTGGGTTTCTAATCCCAGCAAATGTGAAGTCATGCAAAACGGTTTCTGTACCGTGTGCACAGGGAAGTGTCACCACAGCAAACACGTCAAAGAAAACAAGAAATATGTCATCAAATCATCAGTTGTGATAATGGAATTCGATGAATTTAATAAGGAATATGAAAAAGCTCAAGAAAAAAACAAGAGGTTTTTGTTTATAATGGATTCACTTGAGAAAGATCTAAAAAAGCTTGAGGAACAGAAGCAAATTCTTCTGTCTGATGCGTACAACACCATCAAGCATCTGTCTCGGATCGCATTAAAGCCAGACTCGGCCTTCACTCTTCAGCATCTGGACTTCTTCATCCCTAAACTGAGAGAGGCTGGGAAAGAAAACTGGGTCCGAGAACTGGAGGAACTGAGGAAAACCGCTGAAACTGAAGAAGCCAATAAAGACGCTCTGAGTTATCTGAAAGCTGGTCTGTCTAAACTCTTCCTTGGTGGACAATGAACAAATGCAGGGAGGACAAGAGATGTATCATTGTAAATTAAGACTGCTTACAATGAGAAAGAACATAATTTGATTTACTATAGCATTACACATAAATGAACAAGTATAGAATCAATCAATAACTACACCATTACTTTCTTTAAATGAGTAGTCTAATTTTCGGGTACTGATGATAGCTTAAACATTACTTTTCTCACTATTTTATTCTGCTAGACCTGATTATAAAAGTATTTCCTGTGTTTTTTTCTTTTTCTTAAAGTGTTATTTCCTTAAGATTATCTGTACATGAAAATTGTCAAAACTAAAATAAATAAATTTCAGAGATCATAAACTTGATATTTTCTTCATTTGATTTCTATTCCAATCAAAATTTTTAGTCAAGCCAGCCAACCTCTTTAAACTCAGCTTTATCAGCAACGGAAATAAGTGCAGTTACAATAGCTAAATATGTGGGAGAACATTGATATAATGTGAAGATATTGTAGGTCACACTTCAAAGTCAATACCAAATCAAATACAGTTAGGACATCATTTGTGATTGAAAATGTTTAAATCATCATCATCTACTGCATAAATAAGAACACTTTACGAATAAATGAAAAAACGATTTACATCTGTACAGAAAGACAACTCACCCCTACAGAAGGATCAATGTGCACCACATATCTGTTTGAGGCTATCGCCCCATGTACATAAGGACCTCCAGCAGCCTCAAGGAGAAGAGATATTTTTTTAAGAAATCAGTCCATTTTTTCATTCAAATGATTGGATGCCTTCACACTTGAAATATAGAGCTTATTCCACAACTTCAACCTCAAAAACTCCAAGCTGACGGGTTTCAAAATATAAAAACACTTCCTCTTGCCATTCTCCCACAGCAATGGGACCCTCTTTCTCCATTGATCAATTGCTGCTGAGTCTTTTGTCAAAGTATTATGACCCACATGCAAAGACTTCAATATTTTAGAAGCTTATTTCAGCAGCCTCGAAGATCTCACCCCAGTCCGTTCACTCAATGGGCTCTATGCACGGTGATATTTCCGGTGAAGGTCTAAGGATGCTGGATTCCTTCCGCCGATCGTAGAGTCCAATGCTACAGTAATACCGTATACATATCCGTTTTTAAACTTCAATGATTTGATGCAATCAGTTTCCCAAATGAGAAGAGTTGTTACGGTAAGATACTGTAAAAGGGAGCTGTAAATTAACAGTACACTACAGACAACGACTGCTGACATTATTCACAGCACATTTTTTTTACAACCTCTCACATATGCAATGTTCTCAGGATCAAAACTCGAAAAAACAGCATCAAAACTTCTATACTATCACTAGAATGTCTGTTCCTTCAAATCTAAAATTTAAGCTCAATAATTACAGATTAGGATAAAAAGAGAAGCTCATCATCTTCAACACATTGAACAAATAAACATGATGATCATTTACCTGCAGCGGCGGACTGACTGGAGGTTGATGGCGACTCAGATTTGACTCAAGTTATCTTTAATGCAAAACCTGTCGTCTGTCACAGATGCAAAGCATGGAGACATCAATTTCCATTTGAACTTTGCTACAACATACGGCTCTTCTTTAGAATAATGGCTATGAAAACAGCCAGTGACTTTCTGTATCACGTAAATCTTAAAAGGCAACCATTAACAAAATCAAATTTCTCCTTAAATGATGGATGTTCTGGGATTCAGTCACATTGTTAGATTCAGACACTCGGTGGAAGTCAAAATTCAAAATTCAAGGAAGTTTAATTTAAATGTACTTAAACAGAAGACTAGGAACTTGGTCACGGTAGAAATAACACAACTCAACTGTTTAAACAAGACTAAACAGTAAAAACACAAACCAGGACTGTGCAAACAAGGTAAACTAAATGAGAAGGACCTACATTGAATACACAAATCATTCTGTAACCATGGTAACAAACAAACAGGGGAAACTGAGGGTGTGCGTTTACACGACAACGTCTTAAAAACGGACGACAACGTTGCCAAAACGATTCCTGTTCACAAAACTGACTGTATTATGCTGTCAGGACACTTTTTCAAGAAACACCTCAAGAAACATGTCATATACATGCGTATGACGACGTTACCGTTTTCTCAAATTCACGTTTTTGTTGTTAACATGGAGACGGTAAAGCCATCGTTTTCAAAACCAGTTTTCAGGCCCCCAAAATCGCTGTTGTGGTGTAAATGAACGGCCAAAACGCATAAAATTTTTCTGTTGAAAACAGTGTCGTGTACACATGACCTGAAATTACTGAATATTCAACAACTAGAAAACTTGAAACATGGGCATGAACAATTAAAAAACAATTAAAATTTCCTTTTAAGTAAAGGTATCTTGTTTTCCGGATATTTACTGGCTTTTTAAATGTTATTATATTATTGTCTGAGGTCAACTTATGACGTTTGCTTGGTTTTTGCATTCAAAAACATCTAAATGAAGTAATAGGCTATTTTCTACCCTAGTTTTGAGCCTACCTGAAAAACATTAGTTTTTTATGGGCATCTCGCACTGAAGACTTGGAAGTAAACGCCCACTGCTGTGAGTGGATAACGGTTTTGCATATTATAATGAGTTTCAACTCACCTGTCGGTGCACTTGGGGGAAGTTGTTTTGAAAACGAATCGGACTCGACTCTCTGTGGTCTCGACTCGGACTCGACTCTTTATGGTCTCGGTCTTGACTCGGACTCAACACTCCATGGTCTCGGTCTTGACTCGGACTCGACCGTCTTTGGTCTCGGTCTCGACTCGGACTCGACCCTCTATGGTCTCGGTCTCGACTCGGACTCGACTCTCTATGGTCTCGGTCTCGACTCGGACTTGACTCTCTATGGTCTCGGACTCGACTCTCTGTGGTCTCAACTCGGACTCGACTCTTTATGGTCTCGGTCTTGACTCGGACTCGACCGTCTTTGGTCTCGGTCTCGACTTGGACTCGACTCTCTTTGGTCTCGGTCTCGACTCGGACTCGACTCTCTATGGTCTCGGTCTTGACTCGGACTCGACTCTCTATGGTCTCGGTCTCGACTCGGACTCGACTCTCTATGGTCTCGGTCTCGACTCGGACTCGACTCTCTATGGTCTCGGTCTCGACTCGGACTCGACTCTCTATGGTCTCGGTCTTGACTCGGACTCGACTCTCTATGGTCTCGGTCTCGACTCGGACTCGACTCTCTATGGTCTCGGTCTCGACTCGGACTCAACCGTCTTTGGTCTCGGTCTCGACTCGGACTCATCTCTCCATGGTCTCGGTCTGGACTCGGACTCGACCGTCTTTGGTCTCGGTCTCGACTCGGACTCGACTCTCTATGGTCTCGGTCTCGACTCGGACTCGACTCTCTATGGTCTCGGTCTCGACTCGGACTCGACTATCTATGGCCTCGGTCTCGACTCGGACTCGACCGTCTTTGGTCTCGGTCTCGACCCGGACTCGAGTGACCTGGTCTCGACTACAACACTGGTTTGATTAACATTAATAATGACAACAGGTTTATTAGGCTGCTGTCACTTTAAAGGACAAATTCAGTATTTTACACTTAAAGCCCTGTTTTAAGATAGTTTCTGATGAAATAAAACGGTTAAGATTGAAATTTGGACACATGCTTTGGACACATGCTGCTGGCCCGAGAATTTTCGGTTTCTGTGGTTGCACTCCAAACACCCCATAATCTTACACAAAAAAACACTGTGAAAGATGCTTTCCAAAAGGTTTTATCATAACGTTTTTGTCCACGTCAAGTCAATGGAGTTGGACGAAAACAATGATGAACCATGTTGGAAAGCATCTTTTGAGCGATTTCTGTGACTGCACAGATCTAATATACTCGTGTGTGTTCTTTCTCATCTGTTTACATTGACTGAAGTCGTAATGTCGTGTGACGGATTAATGTCTCTCCACAGCTCTGAGCTCCGCGGTGAATTCCCGTGTATTTTACGTTATTCCTGAGAGAATGAGCTGGACGGATGCACAGACGTACTGCAGAAAGAAACACACTGATCTCGCCACCATTGACGACCAGGTGGAACATGCTGAGCTGGTGAAAACTTTCTCCAACTTTACAGAAAACATGTGGATTGGACTCTATCGGAAGACAGGGACTTCTCCCTGGATCTGGTCCGATCAAAGCGAATCCGAGTTCAGATTTTGGGCTAGTGGACAGACAAACAATTATGATGGAAAACAGTTCTGTGTGCACATTTATCCTGATGGATCCTGGAACGACGATGAGTGTCTGGAAAAAAGGCATTTATATGCTATGGTAAGTTGTTTGCAATTTACCTGACAGGAACGATATATTTTTATTAGTAGCATTTATTTTTATTATATACATTTAACTGTTCTGAACAAATGAGACTGTAAAGTGTTTTAAGGAAATTGACTTGTCATTTTCACTTCATTATTAACCTGAGAACTTCATCATGTGTGTTTCTAACAAAAGTCCAAATTTGATTTTGAATGATCCCGAAGTGAAGAAAGAGATTTTATTAATGGTTGGTTCAATATACTAAACATTGAAAGTGTATTGAAGAGTTACCGAGAGCCTTATGTGATAATGCGGTGTGTTCTTCAGATAGAGCAGATACTGAAAGAGAAAGGACTGACAGAAGAAGCCAAACTGTCGTGGAAAGTGATTTATGGAGATGTCTTTCAGAGAATGTGTTGTCAGAAGAATGAAGTTTCTAAGACGCCCTTAGCAAGATGTTTCTGTCAGCTGGGTTGCTGTTCTCTGTCGTTTGCATGTTTTGTATAACAATAAATCATCCTGACATCTTACACTGATGGTATAGCCACACTATGAATGCGTTTGCATTGCTAGTTGAGTCTTCTGAACTCGAACAAACAAAATGCAAAATAAATGTACATTGTAACTCAGATTATAATCTAGATGTGCTGTGTTTGACAGAAACCTGTCTTAAAATAAACGATTACATAACTTTAAATGAGTCCACCCCGCAAGATTACTGTTATAAACATGAACCTCGTCTGAAAGGCAAAAGGGGAGGTGTTGCTGCACTGTAAAAAATATTTTCAAGATTTGTTATTTTGTCAAATCAACTTTATAATAATTTATTTAGTTGAGATAACTTATTATTTTTAGTTTCTGATGATTAAATTAATCTACTTCATTGTATTAACTCACTTTTTCTAGTTCAATCAACTTAAAATTTTAAGGCAACCAGGTTACTTACTTTTTTAAGTTAAACCATCAATATTTTTTTTACAGTGTGTAATTTATAGTAATATCCTCAAAACCACTAAGAAATCTAGTTTTAAATATACTTCTTTT